CTTCTTAAATTACATTTGAACACAGAACACATAGAATAATAAATACTCATTAAGACATGACTCCAAAAACCACGAAAACTGAACAAGCCAGAGAACAGAAAAGTAACCCTCTCTCTCCCTCTCTCTCTCCCCCTCTCTCTTTCCTAAAGGACTCGTTTAAATAAGAAATCTGTAAATGCAGCCAGTCCTCCCTCTCAATCTCTTGCCACCACGCTCCCTCCTGACTCCTGCCCCGGCCACCAGCGCTCCCGCCACCCTGACATTCAATACGTCTCTCCCGCAGGACTCGTCAAACACATGACATGCCATCGTCTGCAAAATTATAATTTAACGGTATAAAGCTTCAAGTCACATATTCCAAAAGCTAGCTAAAGATTTTTCTTTTAAATCACATAAACTATACATTAAATATTTTGAGGTATTTCAGAGAAAATTGTCAAAGGCTCAAAGGAGTTGTGCTGGAGGTATTGTTCCCCGTGTGGAAAATGCTCTTTGGTGTGTGACAGCCGACTGGTTCTGGGGGAGGCGGGGTGGGCCAGGGGGCAGGTTGGGGTGACAGCCCGCTGGGGGCCGGGGGGTTACAGGACTGGTGTGTGTGCGTGTGTGCGAGCACATGTGTGTGTGGTAGGAAGGTGTTTGAAGAGGATCCAGGAGTTCTGGGCTGTGACATTGGAGCTTGGTCCAACCTGACCACAATTCATCATAACTAGAATGTTCCATATCCAAAAGGATCCAGAGCTTGTGCTTCCCTAGCAGGGGACAAAACAGGAGACCCTGCCTACCTGACCCTTGGGCCTGACCCAGGGACCAGCCAGGGACTGGCCCAGCAGAGGGTGCCTGGGAAACGCCGTCAGCACTGGCCACTGCCAGTGGCCCAAGACCACCAGCATGGATTTCCTAAGAAGGCCGTGGGGCCGGGGCCGCAGCAGGACCCCCTGGACCTGATGCCCCTCACTGCCTTTGAGGGTCCCTTCCTCCACAAAGTGCATATATAGACCATATTGGCATGAAGACTAATATGTTAATATGATATATAAAAGTTTTTTGCCACCTGAAAGTTGTTTTTTCTCCTCCCACTTCTGATATTGAAACAAATTAAAGCGTTCTCATGGGCCCGGGCCTGCTGGGCCTGGAGGATGTGTCCAGCGGGCAGGAGAGCTCCTGATCCACGTCGGGAACTCGGGGGTGGGGACGGAGCACGACTGGGCCCAGGTTTTAGTGGGCGGTGGGAGGAAGGAGCCTCCTAGAATCAAGCACCCGGGGACACACAAAAGGAATGAGATCCAGTATGTGTGCCTGTGTCTGTGTGTGCCTGCATGTGTGCCTTGTGTGCCTACATGTGTGTGCCTACATGTGTGTGCCTGCATGTATGTGTGTACCTGGATATGATGTGCACATGTGTGCCTGCATGTGCATGCCTGCATGTGGGCCTGCATGTGTACATGTGTGTGGCTGCATGTGTGCATATGTGTGCATGTGAGTGCCTGCATGTGTATGCCACCTTGTCTGTGTCTCTGTGTGTGCTGGGGAGAGGGGTTCATTGCTGAGCGGGAATGGGGACCCTTTTTACTTTTAGGATTTTGCTCCAATACCCAAAGGTTCTAGAAGCATCACTCAGATCCAGCTGCTTAAAAATCGAGGAGGATATAGAGTGGATAAGGACAAGAGAACACTCCCTACATATCTTTGGTTCCAGAAGAAGGCACTCACCGACCTCACCATCCTCTCTCTCTCTCCCTGTCTCTCTTTATCACTCTCTCTGGTGGGAAAGGAGCAGCCCCTGGGGACAGGCTCAAGCCAGTCCCACCACCACCAGATGCAGGAGAGAACAAAAAGCAGAGAGCAACCCTGGAGGCCTGACCCTGCCAAGGCCCCTCTAGCCTGTCCCTCCTCTCCGCCCCAGACCTCTACTCCTCTGAGACTGCTGCTCACCCTACTGGCCACACTCCTGTCCGCCAGCCCCTCCCAGCACCCCCAGCCAGGTCCCAATCCGTCCTCCTTAGGTGGCATGGGCTGAGAAGGCAGACAGGATGTTGTCTTGGTTTGTTTGAGACAGGCAATGTCTTTTTTCATTTTGTATTGTTATTTTTATTATTTTTAATTTAAACCTGACAACTGCACAGGGCTGTACCACCCCCACCAGGGGGCACAAGCCCGCTTCCGCCTTCCCTGCTGGGGGCTAGGGGTGGGCCTGAGCCAGATCCTGGCCCAGTGTGGGCCTGGACCTCTGGGCCCCAGAGGGCCGGGTCTGCCTTCAGGCAGCTGGCTTCCAAACTGCCTGCCACCTGCCCACGGGACCTCTGTGACCTCTCAGAACCAAGCCAGGCCCCAGGGCCTGCGACCTCGGACACTGTCTTCCCTTGGAGCCCATCCTCTTCTGTGGGGCTCCTATATCCCTCCTCCCCCAACCCCTGGGCAGGGATCGAATAAATGTTTGTATGGATTTTAGATTTCACTGCTGTGGTGGTGGCATTGGTGTCAGGTGAGACGCTTGATTGTCAGACTCTTGATTGACCCAGGTTGGACTCCTCTATCTGCCAGTTCCTTGTGTGTCCCTGGGGCTGCTCACTCACCTCCTTAGAGACTCAGTTTCCTCATCTATAAAATGGGGTTTGAGGCCTGGCGTGGTGGCTCATGCCTGTAATCCTAGCACTCTGGGAGGCTGACGCGGGTGGATTGCTTGAGGTCAGGAGTTCAAAACCAGCCTGAGGCTGGGCGTGGTGGCTCACGCCTGTAATCCTAGCACTTTGGGAGGCCGAGGCGGGCGGATTGCTCAAGGTCAGGAGTTCGAAACCAGCCTGAGCGAGACCCTGTCTCTACCAAAAATAGAAATAAATTAATTGACCAGCTAAAAATATATATACAAAAAATCAGCCGGGCATGGTGGCGCATGCCTGTAGTCCCAGCTACTCGGGAGGCTGAGGCAGTAGGATCGCTGAGTCCCGGAGACTGAGGTTGCTGTGAGCCAGGCTGATGCCACGGCACTCACTCTAGCCTGGGCAACAAAGTGAGACTCTGTCTCAAAAAAAAAAAAAAACAAAAACAAAAACAGCCTGAGCATGAGTGAGACCCCATCTCTACTATAAATAGAAAGAAATTAATTGGCCAACTAATATATATAGAAAAAATGAGCCGGTCATGGTGGCGCATGCCTGTAGTCCCAGCTACTCAGGAGGCTGAGGCCATAGGATTGCTTGAGCCCAGGAGTTTAAGGTTGCTGTGAGCTAGGCTGACGCCACGGCACTCACTCTAGCCTGAGCAACAAAGTGAGACTCTGTCTCTAAATAAATAAATAAATAAATAAAATAAAATGGAGTTTGAGAGTGCCAGATATGCTGCTAGCGCACCACAAATGGTAGCAATGCTTGTGACGATGAGTGTTTTAAATATCTGAAGCTTTGGCTGGGCGAGGTGGCTTACGCCTGTAATCCTAGCACTCTGGGAGCCTGAGGTGGGAGAATTGTTTGAGCTCAGAAGTTCTAGACCAGCCTGAGCAAGAGCGAGACCCGTCTCTACTAAAAATAGAAAGAAATTAATTGGCCAACTAAAAATATATAGAAAGCATGGTGGCGCATGCCTGTAGTCCCAGCTACTCAGGATGCTGAGGCAGAAGGATTGCTTGAACCCAAGAGTTTGAGGTTGCTGTGAGCTAGGCTGACGCCATGGCACTCTAGCCGGGGCAACAGAGTGAGACTCTGTCTCAAAAAAAAAAATATCCGAAGCTTCAAGGGCCATGCTGATGAATTCGGGGGAGCCAAGGTCAGGGCACTTGGAGGGGCTGCCCACCTAAAGTGTCTCCTCCCCTAAAACACTCAGAAGTAGCTTTCCCTGTGCCGGGTGCAGCTGACAGAGCTCCAGCGAGAGGAGCAGTTTGTTCTATGTAAATGACCGCCAGTACTAACTAGGAGAGAGGTGGAAAAGACGGGACCGGGGACAGAGGCATTTTGGCCTTATCAAGCCGTATTTTGGCAATTTGGCAACTTTTGGTTTTTCACCAAAAGCGCTCTGCTGGGACCGTGCCAGCTCCGTTCCGAGTTTCGCTCGTGAGCTCCTTTAGAGCAGAGGTCGTCAGGCGCATCTCTCTCCCCCAGCCGGCAGGACAGAGGCTTAAATAAGGATTTTGCCTGGAATTGGCCACTTTGGGTTACTTTTTGACCCTTGACCTCGCCCCAAAGGGAAACTCGAGTGAAAGGTCCTGGCAGGCGCCCGCCTCTCCCATCAGCCCGTGAGCCTCGGTGCCGGCCCACGAGAGCTACGCACACCCAGCCACCGTTCCGCCGAGTCCGTTGGCGTCCGTGACCTCCGACCCCAATACCAAACCCCTCCGAGGTCACTGCCGAGGCCTCGCCTCCCCACGCCCGCGTCCCGCCCCCTCCCTGTGACGGGCGCCGCCGCAGGCCAATGAGCGAGCCGTATCCACCCCTCGGGTGGGGGCCAAACGCTGACCAATCCCCGCTCAGGCGCCCGCCCGGGTCCAAACGGTCCAATCAGCAGCAGTGGAGGGGCGGGGCCTTCTGGCTCAGCCAACGGGCGGGCACGTCGGCGCCACCGGGGGGCGTGCCCTGCGGCGGGGCGTGCGGCGGCGGCGGCGCAGGGAGGGGGAGGGAGGTAAACAAGATGGCGGCGGCGTGTCGGGCGCGGAAGGGGGAGGCAGCCCGTGGTGCCCGCGAGTGAGGCGCGGGGCGGCAGCGGGAAGGCGGGCGCCGGCGGTTTTTGCCGCGGCATTGGATGGACTGGGCCCCCCTCGCCGCTCCGCCTCCTCCCCACGCGCGGCGGCCGCGGCGAGGGGGACGCGCCGCCCGGGCTCCGGCAGCTTCGGGAACCCCCCGGCCGGGCGCCTGCGGCCTGCGCCGCCTCGGCTACCGGGAGCCCCGCGGAGCCCCCGCCGCGCCGCCTGCCCGCGGCTCGAGCGCGGAGGGCGCTCAGGGCGGGGGCCGAGCCCGGGCGGACGTTCGCGGGGCGGGGGCTCGCCGGCCGGTTTTGGGGGCGCCCCGCGCTTCGGGGTCGGGGGAGGCCGCGCGGCTTGAGCCCTCGTGGGCACCGGGAGCGGCCGGCCCTGAGCGCAGCTGTTGGCGGCAGCGGGAGCGCGCCTGGGAAGCCCCCAGCCCCTCGAGCGCTCGTTCGGCCGGCGGGAGGGCGATGCCCCCCGAGACCTCCGGATAGGCGGCGGCGGCTGAGCGCTCGCGCCCGGGACGGGCGGCCGGAGCGCAGGGGCGTCGCCGGAGGAGCTCCCAGCGAAGTTTGTCTCCCCAGGTGTGGGGGTTCCGGGGGACAGCGAGCCGCGCGGACCTCTCGGCGTGCGCCACGGGCCGGTGGGGATGGACGGCCCGGAGGAGACTTCGCCTGGCCGCGTCTGTGCTTGTCCGCAGGCCTGAGGTCCCCGGAGGATGACCTAGCACCGAGGAGCCCCGGCCGGCCTCCCGAGGGCCCCGTGGACTAGCTGACCCCGCCGGGCCGCTCCCAGGCCCCGAGACCGGGCGGCACCCGAACTGAGCCGCTCTCCCGGACGCCCGGCGCCCGCGGGCGCAGCAGGCCCTGCACCGGGCTCGCAGCCCGAACTGACGTTTAGGACAATCGTTTCCTTTGGAAGAAGAGTTTTTTTTTTCCCTTTTGGGGTTTTCGTTGCCTTTTTTTTCTTTCTTTTTAAAATTTTGGAGAAGGGAAGTCGGGACACGAGAAGAATCGCTCGCCCCCAGTGGGGTTCGGGCTCGCCGGCAGGACGCCAGGGCGCTGGGTCCAGGATGGATGTGGTGGACCCGCAGCAGCTGGGCGTGTTCACGGAGGGCGAGTTGATGTCGGTGGGCATGGACACGTTCATCCACCGCATCGACTCCACGGAGGTCATCTACCAGCCCCGCCGCAAGCGGGCCAAGCTCATCGGCAAGTACCTGATGGGGGACCTGCTAGGGGAGGGCTCCTACGGCAAGGTGAAGGAAGTGCTGGACTCAGAGACACTGTGCCGGAGAGCGGTGAAGATTCTCAAGAAGAAGAAGTTGCGAAGAATCCCCAATGGGGAGGCCAACGTGAAGAAGTAAGTGGGGCTTGCTGGGGTTGGCCTCCGTGCCAGGCCGGTTGTTCACTCTTCCTTCCTCCCTTCCCTTCCTTCCTCCTGTCTGTCCTTCCTCCTCTCCTCCCTTCCTTCCCCTTTAAAACCTGAACTGACACGCCACCGCTGGTATCCTCGGTGCCAGGGGAAGCGTAGTTGGAAACCTGCACGAGGATTTTCATCCAGCCGGGCTCAGTTGCTGCAGGGGTGCGGGTGTGTTTGGTTGGGCCCTTGGGCTCCGGCTGACATGCCTGAGTAGCAGCACCCCCCTGTGCCACCTGGGTCCGTCCACTTAGCCCTCCCAGCTATCCAGGGAACATAGCTGCTCAGAGGAACCAGCTTGTGTGTATTTGGGCCTTGAGAGTTTGTGTTGGGCCGCCAGCACAGTGTGTGGCTGTTACCAGGGCCAGGCGGAATGTGATTTGTTGATCCTGTCGAAGGGGAACCCTGTGGTTGCCAAAAATAATGGTTTGTGCTGGCTTATCAGTCAGCAGGAGGCAAACACAGCCCTTTCTGGCTGGCCTGGATTGTGGCACTGGAACCGTCCCTGGCTCAGGCGCTGGCGCCCTTTCCTAAAGGGGATTCTGCTTTCTGTGCTGCCGTCCCTGCACAGTGTGGACGACCTTACTTTTTCAGCACACTTCTGTACCCCCCTGAGCATCCCAAACGCATCCGGATCTGAGGCTGAGAAGCTCCTCCCAAGGGCGCTGGGGGTGCCCCTTCCTTATCAGTGCCAGACACTCTGCACCCACCCTGCCTGGGCTCCTGCTGCTTTCTCAGTCCCCTTAACTTTTGAAACTTCACCTTCCTTTTCCAAGAAAGGACCTTATCAACCGGGCTAAACCTGGGACTGGCAGGGACACCCTGCAGGGGTGGATGTGACCTTGGGAGGAGGTCCTGGGAGGGGCTGCTGTCCATGTCAGCTCTCGCCTTCCTCCTTCCCAGGGGCCTGGCGTGCTCTCACTCAGTCTGACTGGCATTTGGGCCATGACGTCCACTTGGGCCAAAACCAGAGTGACACAGGCTCCAAAGTTATCACGTTGGGAACCGGAACAGTCTAGAGCTGGGGCATTCGGGTTTAAAATGGGACCAGCCGGGAAGGCGGATGTGTTCCCATGAGGGTTTTTAAAGTCTTAGTGCCCAGTGTGGACACTCGTGGGAGGCGTGGCCAGGCATCTTGGGGCAGTGGGTGAGTTCTCTGTGAGCTGGGGGTTCAGTGGGTTGGGGCAGGGCTGGTCCTGGGGGCAGCAGGTGCACGGTGGGAGTGAAGGGGGCCGGGGCAGCGGGTGCCCTCCCGAGAAGCAGCCACAGCCTCACTCCCAGGAGTCAGGAATCTAGGCTTACATGCCGACTTCTGAGTCACTTTTCTTATTAGTCTAGAAGCATGTGAGGGAGGGTGTAGCCCATGGGCTGCCGGTTTTTGACCTCTGTTGGCTGTGTGGGCACTGAGCGGGGGCTCTGCCTTCTGGGTGCTGTCTGGGAAGAGCTGCTCATGTCTCCTCATGCTTGGCTGGTGGCATGGCTGTCTTCAATTCCCAGGTTTTTGGCCCCCACCCCTGGCTGGGAACGGTTTGCCGGTCTCTCCTCCTGCTGGCCCCAGCTGCGGGGTGGAGTCAGCTTTGGGCCTGTTGTGTTCTGGTGCCGGTAGGACACGTCTGAGGTGCCTGGGGGACCTCGGGGTGCACAGCTGGATGAGGTGGCAATGGGGCTGCCCTGGCACCCTGCGCGTCTCTGGCCTCTTGGGCTGTGCACCCAGTGTGTGCGCCACCACTCCTTGAGGGGCTTGTCCTTCAGCCCTGTTCAGGGGGTCACCTTGCAGCAGCAGAGTTGAGGGGATTCAGTGTCTGCACACTAGCAGTAGTGCCCGGACACCAGGGCCTGCGACATCGGAGAGGATGTGTCGGCCAGGGGCCTGGTGTGTGTGGCTGGGGTACCATGTGTCCGTGACTAAGGCACCATTAAGAACATGCAGTGTGGGTTTTGGCAAATGCACGTGCAAAGTCAGCGAGAGGATGCTTCACCACAGACGTTGTCATCGGGACAAAACCAGACAAGTGTCCTGAGCCCCTGGGTTTCCTGGATGGTCAGTGGAGGTCCCTAGCCCTCCTCCTATGAGCACCCGAAGCTGCTGGGAGGTCCCTGAGGATGTTGGCAGAGACAGGCCTGAGGGCTCTGAGGACTCCAATCTCACCCCTGCCCAGCAGAAGAACAAGAGGGGAAACTGAGGCCAGGGGGTGGAGTGGTCAGTGGAACCTGGATTAGACTATGCTCGGTGGCCACCCAAGACCTTGAAATCAGCCGTAGGTTCTTGCTCAAGGACAGCGTTGGATTTCATTGGCTCAGTCCTGGACGTGCGAAGGCTTTGCCTCTTGGGAGGCCCTTTCTTGGAGGGAAGGGTGGGCCCTGTTGTCCTGTCCCCATCTTTGGGGCCCAGAGGTTTGCAGCTGTGAGTTAGAAGCCACCATGCCTCCTTCAACAGCCCCCAGCGGGTACTGCCGGGTGGACCCGCCTGCCAGGGGGCCGGGCGTACGCTGTCCCTAGTCTTGACTGGAGGCCTGAGGAGGTGCAGGGTGGGGACTGCGAACTCTCAAAAGGAAAACAGGGTGTCCACTCCCAAGCCCTGAGATCCGGCCCACTAGCCAGCCTCACTGCCAGCCGGCTGCAGGGAAAAAGGCTCCTTTGTCTGTGAGAAGCTTAATAAACTCAACTCGAATTGTCCCTCTCATAGTGGAGTCCGGCCCTCCAGTGCGTGTGGGAAGCTTTCTTCTGAGATGGTGACGTTGTGGGCCTTTGCCAGGGGGTCATCTGGGGCAGAGTGAGCCAGTGGGCAGCCTCATGTCCCTTCCTGTTCCTCCCTGGGAAGGCTGCTGGGCGGTCTGCCTTGTCACCTTTCACTGGTGAAAACTAACAGTTCTTACCATGAAGTAGGAAAGTACCAGAAAGCATCAGGACACCCATGTCCCCCCTTTCTCACCAATGAGCACTTACTGTGGGCAGGTAGTAAGTGCATCCGGCCTGCCATGTACAGCTTCTCCACCCTGCTGTCATGGTGCAGCGGCAGCCAACACCACTGTGGACAGCATGGCTGCAGCCCCGTGGCACCTCATTCAAGCATACTGGAACTTCAATTTCATATCATTGTCACCTCTCACAAAATATCGTTCTTGGCCGGGCGCGGTGGCTCACACCTGTAATCCTAGCACTCTGGGAGGCCGAGGCGGGCAGATTGCTCAAGGTCAGGAGTTCAAAACCAGCCTGAGCATGAGCGAGACCCGGTCTCTACTATAAATAGAAAGAAATTAATTGGCCAACTAATATATATAGAAAAAATTAGCCGGGCATGGTGGCGCATGCCTGTAGTCCCAGCTACTTGGGAGGCTGAGGCAGCAGGATTACATGAGCCCAGGAGTTTGAGGTTGCTGTGAGCTAGGCTGATGCCATGGTGCTCACTCTAGCCTGGGCAACAAAGCGAGACTCTGCCTCAAAAAATATATATATATATCCCTCTTTATGTCCCCACCGCCCCACTGTTTAGAAATGTAAAAGTCACTGTGTGCTCATGGCCCAGCTTTGGGCTGTGGTTCTCTGACTCCTCTCCTGCAGCCTGAGCCACATATATCCGCCCTCCCATCCAAGAGAGAACTATCCCCATCCATGAAGTGCACCCCAAGAAGTTTGCTCTGCCGAGGCCCTGCTGCGGCTTGTCTGACAGCTGTGGACGGGTCACCCGAACACTTGCTGTTTTAGGGAGTTACTTTGTGTGTACGCTGTGTGACAGGTGGGCACAGCTGTGTCACCAGAAGGGAGGTTTCTGGGTCACAGGGAGCGTGTGTCTGGTAAGCTGGTGTGGAGACGGCCTGTGGTGCTCAGGGGCTGTCCCCAGCCTCACCCACCCACCCAGGGTGCCCAGCCACGGCTGCCATAGCTCAGGGTGGCTCTGCAGCCTTTCTCTGTCTTTGCTTGCGTCAAGTGTCATTTATAATAGGCACGCCCGGCCATTTGGGGAAGTGATATAGGGTAACGTGCTCAGCCCTCCAGGTAGTTCCCACAACCACGGTGTCTGGCGCTGGTGGGAACAGCTCGTGCCTGTGCCTCTGCAGCCAGAGCCTCCCTGGCTGTGCCGCTGCCACCAGGGGCCCTGGGAGATGTGACCATCTCCTGACATTTCCCTGGAAGGTAGACAGCAGCTCAGTAAAGTGCAGGGTGAGGCCAGGCATCGCCTTTACCTTGACTGGGTGACGTTGGGATCTGGGTGGTAGATGGTTCAGATTTTAGTGTGTTGAGAACCGGAGCCCTGGACTTTGCCAGCTTTCATTCTCCCGGCAAACAGAGCATCCCAGGCGGCCTTTGTGAGCTTCCGGCCCCATCGGAAGGGGTTCCACCGGGAGGCCCAGGCTGGCGTGCGCCAGAGGAGGCGAGGGTTTGTCCTCCTGCACTCACCCACACTGGCCACCACCCTTGTGCGTCTATGTGTGCCTGTCCCTTGGCAGAGGGAGGCGTGACTGAGATGAGGTGGGAGCCGGGGCTGGGGGGGTGGAGGGTCAGTTGCCTGGAGCTCGGGGCTGGGCAGTCAGCCATGCTGGGCACGCTTGGGCTTTCGGTACCTGTGCCAGGCCGGGGCAGGTGTGGAATGCCGATTCCTTACCCAGGAGCGTGGGGTGCCAGATGTGGCTGGTGTCAAGGAATCACAGCAAAGCCGCCAGGATCCACATCTACTGTGTCAACTGAACCGGACTTTCTTGATTTTCTTTTAACAACTTCATTGGCATATAATTCACACATCATAAAGTTCATCTTTTTGAAATGTACAATTTGGTGTCATTTGGTACATGGACAAAATTGTGCAAACATTACCTCTATCTAGTTTGAGAACATTCTCATCACCCACATGGGAACCCTGACCCCTTCAGAGCCCCTGGCACCCACGAATCCACGTCCCATCTCTGTGGATCTGCCTGTTGGGGACATTTCATATAAATGGAGTC